AAATTTATGAAATAAAACATGCTAATTTTTTTATGTAGACTGATTCCTTTAGTTCAATTCTTTTTAAAAAAAATATGTTTGAATATAGGAGACAATTTTAGTTTAATTTTGTGCTTTAATAAATTTCAAATCTTTGGTTGTAAGCTGGCGACACCGAGGGAAATAGTCATTCACAAAACGAAAGTAGAAAAAAAAGCGCAGTCCTGAATAATTAACTCTCTAAAACTTAGAAATCCTGTTTGAAGGCTAAGTTTTGTAGAAAATATATAATAAATTAGATAAATATTTTTTGTATATTTCCTATTTGATTAACCCATGACGCATGCATGTTCCGTAAAAAATGGTCAAGGCATCCGCGTATTGTTTCTCCGACAGGTAGACGAAACGGGAATATAATCACTTTATCCTCCTTTTTTTCCTCGGGATACATAATTCTAAACATAACTTGTATATGCAATGACAGCTTTTATAATAATGCTTAGTTCTCTTTAAAACTGGTTATTTTACCGTAACTTTCATCACAATGTCTCGAAGAAATATTACACGTCTTAAAATTTTTAACTTGGACAATATGACTATCTCATAATTATAAAAAAGGAATTATTATTTTATTAAATTACACGATGCTTCCAATGCAGTTCGGTATTTTCTGTTTTAAGTAAAATCGATGTACGTGTAAATTTGGATAATCTATACTGCATTATAGATTGTATAGTGAAATGAACCCCCCTTTCTTAATTACAATTTAAATAGATATATGACTGATTTTCTTTTTCATTTATTTAATTATTTGACAGACTGATTAAATATAAATTATATATGGCTAATTACTTTATCATAAAGTTAAAAAAAAAAATAATATTAGCTCTGGCTGCTTCTTTATCACGATGTTATAAATTATATGCGGTAGGCATCAAAGACTGAATGTTTATTCAATGATCGGTACGATCCCCAGCCGAGGTATACAAGATATACACAACGGCAGGTAACAAAATGTCAATCAGTTTTCAGTATCCAATCTCAGGCTTAATTTCATCTGATTGACAGGGGTTCACAGACCAGGTAAAATTGAGGGCGGTGCTTATTTCCTCCCCCTTTAAACCCTAATCAATCAATCAATCAAACCATGACTCCCTAGGGGTAGGGTGGGCCACAATGCACTGTCAGGGTTTAGGATGTGAATGTATAGGAAAAAAATTCTAAAACCTTTTTTTCAGGAACAACAAAGCCATGTTTAGTCACATTGATATAGAAGTATCTTGAGGTAGTGTAAATTCAAGTTTGTTTAAATCATGACCCGTCACCCCGTGGGGTAGGGTGGGGCTAGCGCTATATCTATAAAAATCATGACACCTGGGGTAGGGTGGGGTCACAATAGTGATTAATATTTTACATTCGAAGATATGTTAGAATAAATTTGCTGATGAAAAACAGCAGGGCCTTATTGACTCAGGTGAGCGTTGTGGCCCATGGGCCTCTTATTTTATGTCAAGGTCTTGGAAAATCGTAGGACGATTCTTTTATAAAAGGCAGTGACGAATCTGAATGTATAATGGTAGTACAATGTATATTTATCTAGAATATATTCACCACATACAATCAAAAGATATGTTCAGATTTATTATCCATGTATATCACAAAAATGTTTTGTTAGAATGATCATATTAGTTGTACTGTATCCGTATCTATAGACTTTGATTCATACAGCATGAAAAGAGGGAGTATTTGTTTCTGTATTTATACAATGAATTGGGAAATTAATCACCTTAAAAAAAAGAAAGGGGTTCATCAACGCTACGTACATAATGTATGTGGTAAATGCCTTGTGTGACAAGTAAACAGAAATCTGTAATACACCAGATGGTGTTTATTTTCTACGTACTTGATACGCAAGGAGCAGATGGAAATTTAAAGAAGGTGTTATTGCCACCCCTCCCCCTCTTCCTCACCTGAGATGCAATGTATTACCGGAAATTTCTCCAGCCACTACCGAAATTATTCATATAACATGCGCAAATCTAGGGGGGGGGGGGCAGTCGGGGGGACCCCCCCATCTGGAATTTGCAGAGTTATTAAAAGTATATACTGAAGTAAATAAATGACTTTGGGCCCCTTAGAAAACGTGGACCCTACCATCACCACCACGAAATAGGTGTTTTTCACGTTTTGGAAATGGAATTGGATTTTACGTTTTTTTTCTTCCTTGTCAAGAAATTTTTGGGTTAGAAATTTTTTTGACTGGGATGCCCCCCCCCCCCCCCTGGAAAAATTCTTGATCCGCGCCTGTATAATCATTATATCCGAAACAACATATGTGCAATGTATAGCATTTATGAAAATCGAACTTCAAAAATTCTGTCATGACTACATGAGACCGACTATATTATTTCCTCCATGGTTACCACGGAGAATGACTGAGGACTTCGAAAAGGATAATTTAAGGAGATTGGCAATGTTCCTAGCTTTCGTAAAGAATTTTTCAAAAACTCTTGAGCAGGTGTAGTGGTACTAAACAATACACTTTATTGGTTTTCACCGCGTAGAAAATTCTACACGGGAGATCACTCTCAATCAAGCTCCAGACAGCTCAGTATTACTCCGTATATTTCTGGGTGCATTTGTGTGTGTGTGGGGGGGGGGGGGGGGGTTATAGCACAAATTAATGTAGAAAATAGAAATTCCTTGATACGCAAAAAAAAAAGGAAGAGGATCAACTGATGTTCCCTCCCCCTTCACCCGCTCATACAGACGTGAGATACATAAATGACTTGTATATAGAACTGGACATTCAACTTTGCCCAAAATGCTTCATGTCGGTAATAAAAGAAAATATTTTACAATAATGATTTCAAATTTTAATCCGTCAAGCAATACAGCCTGCTAGATTATCCCACAGTCTGTCTATTATAGTCAGAGTAAAATGTGTAATTTCTTTTTCTTTCTTTTTCTTTTGGCAAAGAAAAAAAAATACAAAAATGAAATATTATTTCATATGTAGTTCATTATGACGAGGAAGAGTGATATTTTTATAAGAAAGAATTAAATCCAAACCATGATTATACTTTAAATCTGATGTATATGTTTTCGATATTGAATTACCTGTTTTAAGCTTTAACATTACATGTATTTTGTTTCTGCAGTAAATACAGATCGAATACAACATTAGGCTATATATTACCCTATCCACAAATAAAGGGCAAAATATTATTATAAACTGAAAACAAGTTAATTGTTAAAACTAAAGGGAAGCATATACATGTTTTATTTTTTTATCGGTCTTAGTATTAAACTCTACATGCACTTGGAATAAGAAATTTCTTTAAATATTGTAATAAAAATAGACTATATATAATTATATAATTATATCACAATTTTGATGTGTACGCATGAATATCATAATAGTATTATAATTTGTTCTTCAGCATAATTTATTAAAATAGGGAATTCATATCTATTGATTTAAAGCAAACACGTGACCATTACATTGTCATTGCTATCTGCCGCGGGCTATACCTGCGGGTACCTGTCAGGCATACGAATACTTCACACACCCATTGTTTTATTGCCTATACACACCGGCAGATTTCACACCTTTAATCGTCCTAATTTACACAAAGCAAATGCTGTGGAAAAACAAACACAAGCCCAATAAATGCGACATTAATTTTTTTAAAAATCATTACCCTAAACGGTATTGCTAAAAGCACACTAAACATGGAGTAGCAATTCCTGCCCTAAGAGATATATTGTAAAAAAAAAAAAAAATAAATAAATAAACACAACAGCTAGGGTAAATCCTTAATCTTTCTTCATATCATGTAAACAAACTCTCTTTAATTTTATGTGTTTAAGTCAAGATTAAAACATTTTGCACCACCCGGACCTTTAAACTTCGGCGGACCTTTTCTTATACGGGCCGGACCTTTTCTTATAAAAGGCGGACCTTATATGATATCGTATTAGGTCCCCCCGGACCTTTAAACGAGGCGGACCAAATATTATGCGACACCGGTCGGCAGGGGATGCTCACTCCTCCATGACAACTGATCCCACCTCTGATGTCTTAGAGGTCCGTGTTTGTTCTGCTCCTATTTTGTAATGTTTAATGGACTTTTGGGCTCGAATACTGTTCGTTATCTCCACATATTTCATTGAGTTTTAATCGGAATTTCTTTCCGGTTGTGTAGAAAATGCAAATGCGTTTGAGAAACTTACTCGTGCTTATCAGGGCGAAGGACGAGTACTGAACGATGGAAGTACCATGTGTACTTGTCTAATATTCCCAGAAAACAATTCAGAACAGTCCTGATTCAAATGTAAAACGAACAGCGATCAATCTCGTAAATCCAGTTAACAAAACGAATCGTGAACAAGGCAAAACACGGACCCCTGGAAACACTAGAGCCGAGATCGAGTGCCTAGGAGGAGTAAGCATCCCCTGTTGACCGGTCACACCCTCCGTGAGCCCTATGTATTGATCAGGTAGACAATAAAAACATTTTGGGTCAATTAAAGAAGACCGTATGAGCATTTGAATACGCGAATTGAATTAATTATGTTTTTCCGATGAATATTGAAAAATGCTTGCAAAATGATACAATTTTGCAAAAGTATGCTTACGTTATTACGAACTAGTATTTAAATGAAATACTTGAAGAGCGATAGAGGATTCGAAACGTCGGCCCCGAATAGACGTTATTAAACTGTCTTTATACATTTCAATATGACATAAAATATGAAAAAGACAATCCTTTTCATTATTTTTTTTCTATGAAAATCGTTCTATTATTAGATTATTCGGCTTGTCGTGTCAATTTGTCATCACAATGACCACTACTACCCTATCATTAAATAGTGGATATTGTGGCTATTTTGTGGAACATTTACACTGAATCTCTTTCTTTTTTCTATTACTCCTTACATATGTTTAGTTTTGCCTTTCTCTGATCAGCCACATATATAAAATAAATAAAACACGTTAAAATGAATACATTAAATACCTTTTGAGCAGCACAACTCAACGTAGTTATTTTCACCCTCGTATTTCTTTTCATCTAACTTTTTCTGAAGTAATCCCAAGTGAAAAATTGTTGCACAAAAACTAAGAACGGTTAACATAATAAAACTCCAAGTGAAGCAATGAAGGCCAAAACACTGATTGTTTGAGTCCGTTTTAAGGTCATACAAAGCACCAAATATCTCCTGCATTGCAAGCCCGCCAAAAGCATTCCCAAGCATCATGCTGCCCCAGTTTCGAGCGAAGTTTTTCATGCCATAGAATTCGCTCATCATTGTTGGAGTTAGGCACCAGAGGGCTCCATTTGCAAAGCCGATGACAAGATCGATGATAGTGAAAAGGATGAGATTGTCGGAAAAGAAAATACATAAACCCAAACATATGGTTTGTACTACATTAAATATCAAGAGTATACCTGATCGCGGAATTTTATGGACAATAGCGTCTGAGAGAAACCCCGCAAAAAATTTGGAGACTACACCTGCTATGGGATTCAATGTGGTAAATAGTGTTGTATACTTTTCTAAATTGTATGACTTCAAGTATGTTCCTTGGTTGTTTTGGAAAGTAAGTTGTAGACCGGCACAAAATATGTAAGCCCACAGAAGGTAGTGATAATCAAACCTCCGTATTAACTTCAGCCCTGTAATCTCCCTCTGTTCTTTATGTTCATGTTTTATAGAAGTTTGGTCCTCTAAAGTATCTGAATTAACGGTTCTAGTTACTTCCAAGTCGAAATCGAACGTTACTTGTTTCAAAAAGAGAATACCAAGAGCTCCAACCACAGCAAACGAAATGGCTTCCATGAGGTAAAACCCACCAAGGTTCTGGTTTTGCTCGTCCTTTGTGTGACCTCTGGCAAAAATAGTTCCATAGAGAGCAGAAAATAATGCTGGTCCGCCGCTAAAGGAGGCGTCTAATATGCCAACAACTTTCCCTCTGTGTTTTGGATGGAAGTTAGTCATGCTTGTGGTTAAAGAAGCCATATACATGAAGATGGCTCCAAATCCTACATAGAAAAAAAATATATAATGCTTAAGCTATAAATGAAAAGAAAATAGCTCGAAATCCCATTTAAAACAGAGATATAATTCTTAAGTATCTTACATATTGATAATGGCGTGCCTCTATTTTATGTCTCAGTATGAAGGTTTCCTTTATTTTTTATAGAATTAAAACTAAACAAGAATTATGTACAAGCCTGATAGGAAATAATAGATGTACTGAAGCCAAACGTTTTTATGATAGAATGGTTCTGTGAATGTGGTGCTGTACAGAAGAGAGTAACCGAGTGTTGCTATAAGTAAGGCGGCTAATGACGTCCATCTTGGTCCTAATTTCTCACACATCATTCCAGCGGGGAAACCAAGTGATATTCCGAAGTTTGACATGGATCCAAGAATTTCCACTGAAATCATTGTTCAAACAAAATCAAAATTAAACTGAGAGAAACGCACTTAAGTTCTGGGTATGATGGAGTTTTCTCCTGGATCGCAGAAACGACTTATTCGTAATATTTCCAATATAATTTCAAGATTATAGTTCTTTAATACTTTTGGCTGTACAATTATCTTGAACTTTTAAAAATGTTTGTAAATTGAATTTTAGATGCAGAGTAATTCCTGTTACATACCTTGTGATTGTGTATAATTAAAGTGCGCTTTAACCGAGGTTATATAGGCTCCAAAAGCATAAATGGAGCCTGCAGCAATCATTCCTAGACATCCAATGATCAGAGCCAAAATTCGCTCCACATTCGTTTTATTGAAAAGCATGGTGTTGCTCCTAAACAAACAATTTGAACTATAACTAATAGTATTGCTTTCCAATGCATACTTATGAAGTCAAATATCTGCATTGATTTAGTTTGATTTTTTTATGCCATCTTTTTAATTCTATCATGTAAAACTAAACTGGATACTTAAACTATGCTACTAAACTTGAAATATACTGATTTTTGTGTCGCCTGCAGAGCAGAGCGACACTTAGGGATCACGTTACCCGGTGTCTGTCTGTCCGAATTACTATGGTTACCGACCTTTGTCACACAAACCCAAATTTAAAAAAAAAACTATCAAAATCTCAGTATTTTAAATATACGGAAAAACTGTTTTAAAAAAGATGGGCGAACAAGTCGAGCGAAATGCCTGTAGTGCGACAAACATGAAGGTGAAAAAAATAAATGTCAGTTATAACTGATCTTTGTAGCGTATTGGTTAGCATGTAAGTCTCAAGGGAAAGTGATACTCAGGATTTTTATTGCTAGGGTTCGAATCCCACGAATACCACATTACTTTTTTTAATAACAGAAGTTTTGCCGAGAAAATTTTTCTCAGAGAAGATCTGAAGCTATAGGCATTCTGCACTCCTTGTTCACCCATCTCCTTGCATGCATGTAATTTTATCTACATTTAAACGCCTTCCAAAAAATTCGATGTACATGTAGTTCTTGTGCATAAATGCATAAGTGTGCAGTTTATCCCAGACTTTAACCTAAAATATAGTAAAAAATAAATAAATAAATCGAGAAATGTTAGATTGATTAGGACCTATATAGATGTAAAACTCTATCATAGCAATGATGCATGCCTATTTCATTTGGACAGGATCATTTTCACGGAAAAGAAAAGTAAGGAATATTTCTTGTGAAGAAGCAGAGAAATAATTTATCATTCTTGCCAGAAAGATCATTCAAAGGTGGGTACATTTTAACAAGGTCACTGCTATAGAAATGTGAATTTTTTGCTATGTTCATATGAGTTTGTAAAAGAGCAACATAACTAAATTAGTTTAGCTTAGAAATGTTGATATTCTAGTAATTTTAAGTCAAAACCGTGGATCCCCTGTTACCTATCATTAATGATCTTTTACATTTTTATTTTACATGAAAAATTCTCGATGAGCGAAGGTAATAAAGGATCTCATAAGGACACGGCATACTGTTCTAAATAGACTAGTAAATATTAGCTTTATATAATAGATATCCACACCAGACAATGTATGAAACTGATAATACATTTCAAATTTACTTACTCGAAGAAAAAATAGCAATCCAAAGGGAATATTCTGTATTGCTGTAAAACAAAGATGGAAATTATCTGTATATAAGTTATGCGGTCCGAATTCCGGGTTATCATGTGTTATGATAAATATTCGATATAGATAACCGTGTATCATGTCATTGTTAGCGGACGAGACAACCTGCTTGTCATCGGTACTCGATTTATTCATGTGTTAGAAAGAAAGAACGAAAGTTCATAAATGTAGAGTGTATAAGGTTTTGTTTTTAATATTGTTCGATATCAAAATGGACGAGCTGATCCTCCCATTTCTTTACATGCGAATAAAAATATCACCCGTACAAATGAGAAAGGTGGATCTTAAGCAGAATTTTACTAAGTTACGTTATTGCAAAGATCCCAAAAATGCCATCAAAAGATTATCATATCAAAAGAACGAAGATCAAACTTGTGCAGTTGAAATGATTGTATGATTTCGATGTTTAATACTCAGATTTCTTGTCTTCCGATTTTTTTTGGGGGGGGGGGGGGTATGATGTGATCAATCGATTTGCTCAAGTGATAATTTGCAGAAACGCCGAATAAGGCTTTTATGCATAAAATTATCACTTGAGCAAATTGATGTTTAATTATCATCATAAAACCAGAAACCAGACAGATATTTCTAATAATCATATTTTACCTGATCCTTGATTAAAATAAAGATATATAAATTACGTTATTTTTTCACTAATTAGAAATCATAAAAATTATGTCTACAAGCCTCGACCAGTGTATTAGAAAGCGACACAGACAGCCAAAGACAGCTCTGTCAAGTGATAAGCAAATGCAATCTGATTAAAATCAGATCCTCGTTGCTCCTTTTTAACGATATGTCGCTTAAGATTAGGTGCCAGGGCCATAAAACTTAGACGAGCTTACTTTTGATCCCATTCTCACTTTTACCAAAAGAATTAATAGTGGAAAAGTGAGACTGAGATCCTCGTTGCTCCTTTTTAACGATATGTCGCATCGTTAAAAAGGAGCAACGAGGATCTGATTTTAATCAGATTGTAAGCATATGGCTTTATGAAGATGTAGAGGTATTTCCTTATTTATAGTTTTATCTCGAACTAAAGCAAACTGCATGCAGTCTAAATGTTGTGTATCGCCTATGTCTATTTTTATACCTAAAGTGGGCATAGACCTCCCTATAATATTTACACTCCGTCACTCTACTGATAAAGGAATAAAATCGACAGTGGGTGTTATTATTTTATGATCATAAAAATCAATCAATATATCTTATAAATAAAGTTTAGATGATTCAAGGATATTTAAAATCCAACAAAAGCTCAAATCGTCTGAATTCTATTTCATGTACATGCAATCCTAAACACGCTAACTCTGCCATGTTACATGGAAAGTCATATAGCAGCTTGCGCGATATAATGATCATTAAAATCTCAGAAAAAGGGGGGGGGGGTGTGTTAAGCCATCCATATCTAAGGTGCCTATCAAAGAGGAGAACTTTAATGAGAAAATTGATCAGAGTTTCTATATATAATCATCGTCGCTATCCAAGGGTTTTCGGTCTACTCTGCTTCACATTAACTATAAAATTGTATTTGCTGATACTTCATTATACTTCGATACTTTCTTTCTTTCTATGCTGACATTTCTTCATCACATGATGATATTTTGACATGATATGATGATACTTCTTCATTATACGCTGATACTTTGACATTATATGCTGACAAATTTATCACATTATGAAGCGTTATAAGCATATAAAGTCAAAGTATCATAATATATAATGAGTAGGTATAAGCATAAAGCAAAGTATCAGCACATACATATCAGATGACTAATATCAATATAAGGTAATTCTCTACTATTATGTCAAGTATATGTAAAACAAACAGTTTACGTAACATAACAATTTCATTTAATTGAAATGACGGAAGAAATGGCATTCAGCAAACGAAAGTGCGAAAATTTGAGTCGTATGTTAGCTTCATATTTCGTGCTTTATTGTCCAAATAACGTCACTCATTAAGGCCAGCACTTATTATTGCTGTAACAAAAATCCTGCTTGTTGCTCTTGATGAAAGAACATTCGTGGATATTACATATGTATCGTTCTCATTGTACATGTACCTCATCTAAAATATAAAAATTAAAAAAAAAAATTCATAAACTTTTATTTTGTGATACTAGTAAATGGTTAAGTAACTTAAGTTACTTGAGTCCATGTTCAAACAAGTATTTCTGATCCAAGTGTTTCAACTCGTCAATCTGTTCGTTTGTCTGTCTGTATTAGATACATTTTTAATTTAGTCTTGAAACCAAAGTTTTATTTAATACTTGGGTGACGAATAAAATAAAACATACATCTTTTTTAAAATGTGCACTTGATCGACAAACTGTCATACCAATCGTATTTAGATCGAATTTACAGAGTTGCAGTAAATACAAAATTTGCAATATGACAGAATTTCTTTGTTAGTTGTGTAGCTTCATCACTAGTGTGCTGCATGTATTTTTTTCATATTATTTAACGTTTCAAATGTACCGAAAGAATTATATGTATCTGTTAGTTCAACAAGATCAAAAACACATTACAAATTTTAAGCTGGTAAGAGCACGGTGAGTTACATGTTGTCAAATAACAAACACAAGTACAAAGTGAATATTTTTGCCTGATTGATATCAGAGCTGTCAATAATTTTATTTCCCATTTCAGTTGCAAAGCGCTCATCTTTCTCTTTCTCATGATGTCATCTTTGTATTTCAAGTGCTCGGAAAATGTAAATAATAAGCATTTCTTTTATGGTGATGTCCTATTCAGTGATGTCCTGTTAAATAATAAGAATATATAGCTTCACGTTTTTAATTAGTATACAGTTAACAACACGAAAGACTTTAATTTCAATGTAATTCAAAATATGAAATGGCAGATTTTTTAACATAACTTTTGCTTTTTTATAATGTTAAAATAGTCTTGAAATACAAGTTATTTATTTCATCCATATGCATGAGAAAATATCTCGCAAATTTAATTTCGTATATTAAAACAACCACACCCACACACATACCTATCTATCTATCTATCTATCTACATGTGTGTGTGTATATATATATATATATATATATATATATATATATATATATATATATATATATATATATGTATGTATATGTATATATATATATATATATATATATATATATATATATATATATATATATATATATATATATATATATATATATATATATATATATATATGTATGTATGTATATATATATATGTATGTATGTATATATATATATATGTATGTATGTATATATATATATATATATATATATATATATATATATATATATATATATATATATATATATATATATATATATATATATATATATATATATATATATATATATATATATATGTTTTATGTGTTAGAAAAAACACAAACACGGCCATGATATATTTTGGTTTAAAATATTACAAAGTAAGAATTGTATTTTGAGATCATGTTATGAGAAAATGATAAAGGAAATTGAACAACCAATGAGCAAGATCACGAACTGGGCTTCCAATATTAAAGATAAATTATTCGAAATTAGGTTAGGATATATGTGGGCTGACTAAGAAAGAATTTGTTATAACAGCCATTTCTTGATTATAAAGCAAAGAATTATTGACACCTACGTACAGAATCTCCTTGCAGATATCAATGTTCATCTAGATGTATGCTATTTAA